GCAGGTATGCAACTTATCTCATTTAGTTTGGATGTGGTAACAATCTATTACTTATAATCAAAGGGACGTAGACTGTGGTCAAGGTTGTCATATCTTAATTTAGTTGTTCCTTTCTTGTGCATATTTCCTTGTTACCACCTTTCACTTTGTCCTTTTGTTTCTGTTTTCTGGTACTGCAGTCAGTTGAAGGAATGAAAGTCGTGTGTCATGAGTTGGCACAGGCGACTAATGATCCAGAAGGCAGTGCTATGGATGAACTAGTGCGGGATGCAGATAGACTTGTTTCTTGCTTGGCAAATAAGGCAAGTACAGTAACAGTTCATTATAGATGCTTCTCCATTTGGACTTGTCGAACTCTGGTGTTTATTGAAGTTTCTCCGTCCTTTTATTCTTCAAATAGGTAGCAAAGACTTTTGACTTCAGTTTGACGGGAGCTTCATCTAGGTCATGTAAATATGTCCTGAACACTCTTATGCAGGTAAACATACCATCAAATTCTTGCCTTAGTTTTCATTCATGCTCATGTGATCCAAATGTACTATGTAAAAGATTATTACCTTTTACGAACTTCTTTCCTAACATTCTGATTTTTTGGACTTCTTTGCAGACATTTCAAAATAAAAGACTTGCTTATGCTGTCAAGGAAAGTACTCTTGACAGTCTAATCACTGAGCTCCTACTGTGGCTCTTGGATGAAAGGGTTCCCCATATGGATGATGGCAGCCAACTCCTGAAAGCCTTGAATGTTTTGATGCTAAAGATTCTGGTTATATCTACCTGTTTTTGCATTGGTTTCCCCATGTTAATTAGTATTACATCAGTTATAACTGTCATTTGTATTCTTGCAGGATAATGCTGATCGGACTTCGTCCTTTGTTGTTCTCATCAACCTCTTACGCCCTTTAGATCCCTCAAGATGGCCATCACCTGCTTCCAATGAATCATTTGCTTCCAGAAACCAGAAGTTCTCCGATTTGGTTGTCAAATGTTTAATAAAACTTACAAAGGTATTGCCGAATTTGTGACCTTCTATTCAGCTTCCTTTTTCATGAGCTGCGGTGTCTGTGAAAAATATGTCCCACACATGCATACATCGAGTCTTTCTTTGTGTTCGATAATCTTTAGGTTTCTCTTAAATCATCATTTCTCTGCCGCAGGTTCTTCAAAGCACAATATATGATGTCGATCTGGACCGTATCCTTCAAAGCATCCATTTATACCTACAAGACTTAGGGATGGAAGAGATTAGGAGAAGGTATTCTTTAAAGAGATCCTGATATCCACCCCCCAAAACCCCATCCTGTCCTGGTCATTTTCATGCAATGTTCTTTTCTCTCCTGACTCGTGAAAAATAAATTCATTACAGAGCTGGTGCTGATGACAAACCATTGCGTATGGTGAAGACTGTTCTACATGAGCTTGTGAAGCTTCGTGGAGCTGCAATTAAAGGTCACCTTTCCATGGTTCCTATAGACGTAAAACCGCAGCCAATCATTCTTGCCTACATTGATCTTAATCTTGAGGTAATAACTGAATTCTGCAGTCCTATTTCTAATTATACAGGGACATCAATTTATCCTTAATTTCCTTTTATTTTGGTACAACCTGGCAGACTTTAGCTGCGGCAAGGATGCTGACATCAACTGGGTCTGGGGGCCAAACTCACTGGGGTGATTCAGCAGCCAACAATCCTTCATCTGCCACGCATTCTGCTGATGCACAGTTAAAGGTAATATTGTAACCTAGTTTATCTTTATCAAACTTAACGGTAAATTCTTTTGTGGTTCCTGATAATTTCAGTCTCTGTTTACGAGTCTCTCTAAGATGGTTAAATTTTTTTTATGCTCATTCTTTGATTCTGTTTCACTTTCAGCAAGAACTTGCTGCCATATTCAAGAAGATTGGCGACAAGCAAACCTGCACCATTGGTCTGTATGAACTATACCGCATAACCCAACTGTACCCAAGAGTAAGTAATGTGTGTCAATAGTCTTTAGGAGTTATTGACGTGATTTAGGTTTTTGCCCCCTCTGCATGGCATGCAATTGATTTCTGTGCATGAATCTTCTGTTTCTTAAGTTTGTAATACTTATTTCAGGTTGATATATTCTCTCAACTCCAAAATGCTAGTGAGGCTTTTCGGACATATATTAGAGATGGTTTGGCGCAGGTCAGTATCATCGTTATCACCGGCAAAATGTTCCCTCTGGCACACACTCCATGATTCCTGAAAAAAGTAAATTAGGCTTCCTTGCCATAGAAATAAATTATCATTTTCTTTGTCACAGATGGAAAAGAATGCTGCAGCTGGAAGGACGCCTTCAAGTTTGCCAATGCCGACTCCTCCCCCTGCTACTCTAAATGCTTCTTCTCCTGAATTTGCACCCCTGTCCCCTGTTCACACAAACTCTTTGGTTGATTCAAAATCATTAAATGTGAAATCTGAACCAACTAGCTTTAATCTACCGCCATCATATGATGAAGAAAACAGGCTTAATAATGCCATTACTTCTAGAGGTCTCACCGAAAACTCATTGGTAGACCAAAGGAATGAGAGATATATTGGTGGAGGTAATTGTATTTTGTTTTTTACGTTTTTTACGTTGTTTCCTTCTGCATTGTCAATTATTGTTTTTTTGTTGACCTTAATGACCTTACGCTAGAACTCATCTTGGAAAATGCAGTGACCAACTGGAACCTTAGATGCGATTAGAGAGAGGATGAAGAGCATGCAATTGGCAGCGGCTGCTGGGAACCCGGATCAAGAAACTAGGCCATTAATGTATGTGAATGACAACGTACACCAGAGCCTCTCTGGTCAGATTCCTCGTGCATCGGAGAATCCCCTTCAGGGTGGGGTTCTCCCTATGGATGAGAGGGCATTATCCGGGCTTCAGGCTCGGATGGAGAGACTTAAAAGTGGGACAACCGAACCCCTTTAAAAGGAAGAGTTAATGCGAATAGGAAGCGGATTTCTTGTCACGCCTCTGTTCTTGTAAATGGCTGGGAGGTGGTGATGTGCAAGTTCAGTTGCAGCTTCAGTACTGGCGTCTCATTGCAACCTTCGATGTTGTGGCAGAGTTTTGGGGGAGCATGTGTTCTAGCAAGTGTATTGTAGAACAAGCTTTTAATCGGGGAAATAGGCGGCTGCGTCGTCGTCGTCGACGATTTAATTTAGTACCAGTTCAGTACAGACCAATTCCTAGATCCTGAAATTTTTGGCCGAGGTTTTTTTGGTGGGATGTAGCACTGTCTCTGCTTTTGGCTTATTTTTTTCACTGCAATTATTTGTCAATTTGGCGTTGTATATTATTGTTTCAGAAGCATTGAGTTAGTCCTTGACAGTTATGCCACCTTCCTTTTTATATAGGGTAGTATTATTCACACTTCTTTTTACTTCTCACTCTTATTAAATTTGGTCCACTGATATTTAATTCATTTGATTTGATGATTGGAAATTAAGAGGATGTGAGAATTAAAAATTGATGTTTGGATAGCACAACCCTATATTTAATACGAAGTACAAAAAAACTTTGATTGTTCCATTCGGATTTTGACTTTTGTTTTGTTAATTGAGAAAAGAAAAAAAAAAATGAAAACACACCTAGAAATTCCTTGTTTACTCGCACACGAGGAATGAATAGTTTATCAATTTAATTATCATTTCTAATTTTTTTTATTCTCGTCCTCAATTCTCCATGCCACGTGTTTTTTAAAAATTATTTCAGAATTGTTTTTTATATCATTTAAGCAATTAAATCTAGCAAAAATTGTTTTGAAAAATCTAACATATTATGAAACTTAAAATTAATTCCACAATTTAAGGGGATTTGAAGCCCCACATTTTGTGGCATGTAAAAGCCTCCCAAGAGACAAAAACGTTAGAAACAATGTATAGTTGCATTTCAAAAGAATGTATATCTATAGATTCCGTACATATATAATATGGGTACATATAATCAATTAATGTACCCATATTAGTATGTGTATAATAATATGGGTAGATTCTCAATGATCGACGACTTATGGGTACATAAGCTACAAGTACAAAAATAAATATTGTATTCATTACATAGTACATGAAGAACATTGAGAGGGAGGGGGGAGCGCAAAATACAAATTATTTATTTGAATTTGAAAAAAAAATAAAACAGCTGACGTGGAAATACATTAATAGTGAAATAGTGATGTGTACAAAGTTTAGGAACTTCTATAAAAAATTGAAAACCAACAAGGTTTCAGTCATAAAATATTGGTACTAGGACGAGATGATGAATTGTAGGAGAAAAATGATGTGTGAAAATCACTTTCCAGACAAAAATAAAATATAGCATTTAACCTAACTGCATCAGACACAAATATCATGCTACAACCTACATGTTTTAAAAAATCGACGTTGAAAACCAGGAACTGGTTATTCTCGTCTGCTAAATAATTCGGAAACGTCTATAACACCAAACCTAGTACAGTAAAATCCTGCAAAAACAAACTTTGCCAGCCAAATACAAATATCCGTTGGATATGCTTTCGGATTAACTTAATTACTAGTTAATTCTAAATCAAATACATATGAATATTAAACAATGTCACCATCTTAACTTAACCTACTTATCCAGATTCTAGCTGATACAAGGCAAGCAAATTAAACAAATCCGACTTTGATCCGTTCAATCGTCAGCCTCCGGTTCCGGTTGTTTTCGATGCCTCTGATTAAGAATATTCATAACTGTTAATTCATTGATAACAATTTCGTTTTCAGATGAACGTTCGAAAATCGTTAAATAATGATTCAGGAGTTAGCAGGGTTTAACTTATATACAAATCATTAACTTCTTGCCATGCAAGCATCTTTGTTTCCCTCTGCATTTTTTATGCACGTCGTAGGAATCGAACACTATAAGATGCAGCCAAGAAGAAGAGAAACCAGGACGTTTTCTTTCTTGGTTTTTGACGTGGAATATTCCGAGATATACCTGCTGAGCATCTGTATACACGTATTGTTTTCATAAATTTTGTATAATTTAAGCTAGTGATCGGGATGCAGTCAAGCTGAAACAGACCTTTTCAATTTTATCGCAACGACTGTCAACATATATAATGAAACACGCATGCATGCAAATGATGAAAATTTAACTAAGTGCCCGAAAACGTGAAAAGCTGATGCAGATGGGGAAACAGAAAGGAGCAACCGTGGAGGACGAGAAGGCGGAGCTTGTCATAGCCGAGACTCTGGGATTCAGTAAGCTGCTGAGCTATGCGGACGCGTTGGATTGGACTATGATGGTATTGGGGACGTTGGGTTCTGTTGTCCATGGTATGGCTTTTCCAGTTGGATATCTTTTGCTCGGAAAAGCTCTCAATGCGTTTGGAAGCAATATCAACGACACTGAAGGCACGGTTAAAGCCCTGAAGAAGGTATAAACATGTAATTAAAAACTAATCAATTCATTAATCATGTGCTTGAAACAGCTTCCATGCTAAAACAGCAAATTTTCGAACGCAGAAAAGTAGAAAAACCATGCTTCTCACGAGTTTGTTCACGTTGTTTGTTCTTCAGGTTATTCCGTACGTGTGGTACATGGCCTTCGCCACATTTCCAGCTGGAATAGTTGGTAAACTTCGTATTCTTTATCTGCAATTTATATTCCATGCATATATGGGTGACTACTCTGAGGGAGATCGGGGCGATGAAACCATATATAACAAAATGGTTTGATCGGGATCACTTTCCTAGAGTTTACCATGATGATCTACGTAGCGGAAACATAATAAAAGCCGATAATCTGTTTAATTAGTTACTTTACCTGCTGCTTGGAGTTTGTAGAAATCGGGTGCTGGATGTACTCGAGTGAAAGGCAAGTGGCGCGGTTAAGACTGGCCTATCTACGAGCAGTCCTTAGCCAGGAGATTGGGGCTTTGATACAGATTTAACCAGTGGAAAAATCATCAGCGGAATCAGTAACCACATGAGTATCATACAAGATGCAATTGGAGAGAAGGTATACAGAAATGCCACTACCCTTGCTCATAAATATGTGTGTGTGTACGTGAGCGCGCGTGTTAGACAAATTAAATTCATGACAAAATATATGGTAATTAGTTAACTATGAATTTCGGGTCACTCACAGATGGGGCATTTTCTGTCATGCCTTGCAACTTTCTTTTCTGGAATTTTGATTGCTGCCATATGCTGTTGGGAAGTAGCACTGCTGACCTTGGTGGTTGTTCCCTTGATTCTTGTAATCGGAGGCACTTACACAAAGAAAATGAACTCCATCTCCGCCACTAGAATGCTTTACCAGTCAGAAGCTACGTCTATGGTAGAACAGGTAACTTGAGCCAAAGAACAAATCTAATTCAAGGAAAAAAACGATCCAAATGAACTAAGTTACTGATCATATTCCTGCATCACAGACAATATCTCAAATCAAAACCGTATATGCATTTGTTGGAGAATGTTCTGCGATCAAGTCTTTTTCGGATTGCATGGCAAAACAGTATTTCCTAAGCAAAGGAGAGGCTCTGATAAAGGGAGTTGGAACAGGAATGCTTCAATCTGTGTCTTTCGGTTCTTGGGCTCTCATCGTTTGGGTTGGTGCTGTTGTAGTCACAGCCAAGAGAGCAAGCGGGGGAGAAATTCTAGCAGCTGTGATGAGCATTCTATTTGGAGCTATGTAAGTAAGCAGCGTAAAAAAAAATCCATGACTGGCGGAAAGTTCTTTGAAAGAACTAACCCAACTTGGTTTGAATTTCAGATCACTGACTTATGCTGCACCGGACATGCAAATCTTTAATCAGGCAACAGCTGCAGGAACTGCAGTTTTCCAAGTGATAAATAGAAAGCCAGGTTATAAGCTACAATTCAGAAGGGAAGATACTTGAGGAGATTCATGGCAATATTGACATCCATGAAGTGCACTTTTCCTACCCGTCCAGGCCGGACAGAGCCATCCTTCAAGGGTTTTCATTGTCAATTCCAGCAGGAAAGACAGTAGCCTTTGTTGGCAGCAGTGGGTGTGGAAAGAGTACTATCATCTCCCTAGTTGCAAGATTCTATGATCCCTTAAAAGGTCTGTTACCTCTCCTCAAATTAAATGTTTGAAAATGGTTGCTTGATTTACTAACAGTGAATCACTGATCGCCGAGTGCAACCCTCAGGAGAGATTCTGATCGACAACCATAACATCAAGGATCTTGACTTGAAGTTCCTGAGGAAAAACGTAGGAGCAGTTTCACAAGAACCGGCACTGTTTGCAGGATCCATCAGTGACAACATGAAAGTTGGTAAGATGGATGCAGAAGATGAAGAGATCCAGAAAGCAGCAGTCATGGCTAATGCACATACTTTCATATCCCAACTTCCAGACCAATACTCAACAGAGGTTAGCTACTCTAACCATATATCTGAATTAACTGAAAATTTGGATTATGGACGATGTTAAGGTAACTCGTACATTTTGACTGAAATGGCGTACAGGTGGGACAAAGGGGAGTCCAGTTATCAGGAGGGCAAAAACAGAGAATCGCCATAGCAAGAGCAATTCTAAAAAATCCTCCAATTCTTCTGCTTGACGAGGCCACGAGTGCTCTTGATTCGGAGTCAGAAAAGGTGGTTCAAGATGCCCTTGACAAGGCTATGCAGGGAAGGACAGTCATCTTGATTGCACACAGGCTCTCAACTATTATCAATGCAGATATGATTGCTGTGGTAGAAAGTGGACGAGTTTCAGAAACAGGGACGCACCACAGCTTGCTTGACAGCAGCAAATTCTACAATAACTTGTTTTCTATGCAGATCATCAACCCAGTTCGCGACTCGAGGTTATTAATTCACACCTTAAAATCCCCCTTGATTAATTGTTACTCATTAATCTGCATATGACAAAAAAAAACATATCTAACCATACTACAACGTTAACTGAATAACAGAGAAACTAGTACCTCCGAAGAACCTACAAACACGCAACAACAGATTTCACTTGAAGAGATGGAACAAGACAAGGAACCTAGGGAGCCTGACAGCAATCTTAAGGAGTCTCCCAAGCATGAAGAACAGGAAAAAAGCAAAAGAGCTATATTCTTCAGGATCTGGTATGGCTTGCAAAGGGAGACCTCGGAAGGATTGCTCTCGGTTCCTTCGCAGCAGCTCTCTCAGGCATATCAAAGCCTGTCTTTGGGTATTGCATTATAAGTATTGGAGTGAAATACGTTCAGCCAGACGCTAAGAGGCATGTTGAAAAATATTCAATCGCCTTCTCTCTAATAGGATTTCTTTCGTTGTTCTCTCACACCGTGCAACATTACTTGTTTGGAATAATTGGAGAGAAGGCCATGACAAACCTAAGACTCGCTCTCTATTCAGGTATAATACACTACCAACACAATCACCTCATGTTTTCAGTATCAGTAAGTGGAATCTTTCTGCTTTAATTATATATCAGAAAACTGAAAAATTTAACCCGCTCCTTTGAAATCATGCAGGTTTACTACGCAATGAAATCGGATGGTATGAGAAACCTGAGAATGGCATTGGTTTGCTTACTTCACGGATCATCAATGACACCTCGATGGTGAAGACCATAATTGCTGATCGTATGTCTGTTATCGTTCAGTGCATCTCCTCCATACTGATTGCAACAGTTGTCAGCATGTTTGTTAACTGGAGAATGGGATTGGTAGCTTGGGCTGTGATGCCATGCCACTTCATTGGTGGTTTGGTTCAAGCCAAGTCTGCCAAAGGGTTTTCGGGTGATGCAGCTGCTACACATGCTGAACTTGTTACTCTTGCTTCTGAGTCTGCAACCAACATAAGAACTGTGGCATCCTTCTGTCACGAAGATCATATACTCAGAAAAGCCAGAATATCTCTAGAAAACCCCAAGAAGAGGTGCAGGAGAGAAAGTATCAAGTACGGCATAATTCAGGGTATTTCCCTTTGCTTATGGAACATTGCACATGCTGTTGCGTTGTGGTATACGACAGTTTTGGTTGGTAAAAATCAAGCAAGCTTTGAGAATGGCATAAGAGCGTACCAGATTTTCTCTCTCACAGTACCTTCAATTACAGAGTTATGGACACTGATTCCCACTGTCATCTCTGCCATCGGTGTGCTAACCCCTGCATTCCAAACCCTTGACCGCAAAACTGAAATCGAACCAGATACACCAGAAAGTTCAAATCCTGACAGAATTAAAGGGGATATCGAATTTCAGAATGTCAAGTTCAATTACCCTTTAAGACCGGAAGTAACTGTCCTGAACGATTTCAGTTTACAAATTGAAGCTGGAAGAAAGGTTGCTTTCGTTGGCCCAAGTGGAGCTGGAAAATCTTCCGTATTGGCCCTCCTGCTACGATTTTATGATCCAATGGAAGGAAGAATACTCATCGACGGAAAGGAGATAAGGGAATACAATTTGAGGTGGCTGAGGAGACAAATAGGACTAGTGCAACAAGAGCCTCTTCTTTTTAGCTCCTCAATTAAGCCAATATCTGCTATGGGACCGAGGAGGCTTCTGAAGCTGAAATTGTGGAGGTATCTAGGGAAGCAAACATACATGAATTTATATGTAACTTGCCTGACGGATATGAAACTGTTGTTGGGGAGAAGGGCTGCCAACTTTCAGGAGGACAAAAGCAAAGAATAGCCATAGCTAGAACACTGCTAAAGAGGCCTGCAATTCTGCTCCTCGATGAAGCAACCAGTGCCCTTGATGCTGAATCTGAGCAGTCCGTGGTGAGTGCATTGGAAGCAATAAACTTGAGAAGTCTGTCAAAAACCACACAAATTACAATTGCACATAGGCTTTCCACAATAATACACTCCGATACCATTGTCGTCATGGATAAAGGCAAGATTGTGGAGACAGGTTCGCACTCAGCCCTGATAACAGCATCAGAAGGAGTTTACTCAAGATTATATCAGCTGCAGAACTTGGGAGAAGAGTGACACATACGTACAAGCTTTTTTTTTTTTATGACAATAAAAGTTGAATAGAGAAGCACAAATGTTGCAGTACATCATATATATTGATGAATGAGTAAATTTGTTCTCAAGGGGTACAATGTATGTACACAAGAGAATACACTCGCAAACCAAGTGGAGGGCACAAGCAGTCCTTCCATCCGAAAACATTAACAAAGAGTATAAGTCTCTGCTCTTGAGCTCCAGCAAGCTTTATTCCTCAACCTCAAACGTATGTTTTACACCGGAAAGCAAGCATAAGGCGCTTTCCATGATACATGATTGTGTCGACCGCCAAATCTTCCAGGCATCCCCGACCTCTCTAGCACTCTTTCCACGCTGCCTGATTGTGTCAGCCATCAAATAACCAACATGTCCCAGATTAAGAGCTGGCCAAACAGCACAGCTCCTGGCCACTGAATAGTAAAAAGATCTGGATCCCTGAATCTTTAGCACTCTTGCACATACAAAATCCATTAACAGCAACACATTTCCTCAAAACCAACCAATCATTCTAGATCACTTGTACAGCAGAGGTCAACAAAAAAACTGCAACCGCAATTTCAGAAATCAAAATTTTCTTTTGAAGGGTGGGGGTAAACCTTCAATTTTCTCTCTCAGGGTGCATTGATCCTAAATGTATCTCATCTGTCTCTTTCCTGTCTCATTGTATACACGCGAACTATTTGTTCCTCTAGCCAAAAACGACTGGAAAAGCTTCTGCCCGGGTCTCAAATGTACAACAGGTTCCTCTAGAATTCAAGAAAGACGCTTTACATTGTCTTAAGCAACCCCTTTTCCTCCCCACTTGCAACTCCAGGATCGATATAGCACAACTGAAACAAACCGTTACATCAGATCCAGTCCTACAGAGTAATCAAAACCAAAGGCAAATGTAAGATTTAAATAGTCATTACCTGGTATTGTGCCTTTTTCAGTGTCTGAACCCCTCGTTTTACGAACTTCTGCCATCCTACCTTTTCTCTTAGTGACTTTCCAGATCTGCCGTTCTCTGCAATTATGTGTCACAACTCACAAGAGTGAAAATCCAATTGTATTCGATAGTGAATTGCAAAATAAAGGATGATAAGCCTAAGATGCACCACGGAATCATAAAAACAGGCGGCAACTTACATGGCCAGGGTCTAATATTAAGAGA